GGGGGGCTGCCGGGGGTTGTTGTGGCCAAAGGGCAGGACCCGGCCCTTGGCCTTGGGGAACCTCATCCCGTTGTGTTGGTGGCCACAATTTGCCCCCCAGGACCTACTTTGATCTTCATGGTGCTGGGGGCCAGTGCCGTGATCTCCTTCTGCATGCGGTCGGCGATGCCGGGGTACATGGTGGTGCCGCCCGACAGCACGTTGTTGGCGTAGAGGTCCTTGCGGATGTCGATGTCACACTTCATGATGGAGTTGTAGGTGGTCTCGTGGATCCCGGCCGATTCCATGCCTGGGCGTGGGAGGGGGCTGTGTCAGCACCCTGACTCCCCCCCACGCCTGTCTCCTCCGGGCATCCCAAAAGAGCCATCCATGGGTTTGTCCCACCATTTAGGGGAGCCCCAAAACGCCTCTACGGGGCACCCACAGGAGCTGTTTGGGGTTTATCCCACCATTTGGGGTGCAAAGCGCTTGGGAAAGCCCCAAAATGCCTCTGCAGGGCACCCAGAGTTGCTGTTTGGGGTGGTGGGGATCCAGAGTGACCACCAGGAGTTGGGGGGTGGGCTCACCAATGAAAGAGGGCTGGAAGAGGGTCTCGGGGCAGCGGAAGCGCTCGTTGCCGATGGTGATGACCTGCCCGTCGGGGAGCTCGTAGCTCTTCTCCAGCGAGGAGGAGGAGGCGGCCGTGGCCATCTCATTCTCGAAGTCCAGGGCCACGTAGCAGAGCTTCTCCTTGATGTCCCTCACGATTTCCCGCTCGGCTGCAGGAGGTGACGGCCAAGGGGCTCAACCCGGTGCCGCCGCGGCACCGCAGGGTCCCCGTGACCCCACAACGCCCCTCCCTGACCCCGTACCGGTGGTGACGAAGGAGTAGCCCCTCTCGGTGAGGATCTTCATGAGGTAGTCGGTGAGGTCCCGCCCGGCCAGGTCCAGGCGCATGATGGCGTGGGGCAGCGCGTAGCCCTCGTAGATGGGCACGTTGTGGGTGACGCCGTCCCCGGAGTCCAGGACGATGCCTGGGGAGGGAAGGGAGGTGAGGGAGGGGGCTCCAAGGTGGTTTGGTGCCTTCCCCATCACAGATGAACCCCAGGGAAAGGTGTGTCCGACTCACCGGTCGTGCGGCCGGAGGCGTAGAGGGAGAGGACGGCCTGGATGGCGACGTACATGGCGGGGACATTGAAGGTTTCAAACATGATCTGGGAGGGAGAGAGAGAGGGTTAGGGGGGAGCATGGGGGTCCCACCCTGACCCAGGGGGCTGTGTCTTCCTGGGGTCAGGGCACTGCACGGAAAAACAGGGATGGTTGCGTTGCATGGAAAAACAAGCGAATGGTTGGATGGCACGGACACGTGGGGCAGTGCAATGCATGGAAAAACACAGGGATTGTTGCGTTGCGTGGAAAAACAGGTGGACGGTTGGGTTGCACGGACATGGGGGTCAGTGCATTGAACACAACAAGTGGATCATGGAAAATGCGTGGAAAACATGTGAGTGGGTGTGTGGTGTGGGAAATGTGGGTCAACACATCCCGTGGAAATGTGGGTCACTGCATTAGAGTCATGTGGGGCTGTGCATGGCATGGACAACACGTGGGGCAGCGCCTTGCGTGGCAAATCCCACAGGGCCACGCTCTGGAGAGACCCCCGGGGCTACATAAGCAAGTGAACTTCCCACCAGGATCTCTGCCCTTATCCCACACCAAACTGCCCCCACCGCCTGCTCCTCCACCCCACCCAACCCCCAGACCCCCCAGACCTTCCTGTGGATTCCGAGGGTCCATCCCCACCCCCGGGGGACCCTCAGCACCTCACCTGTGTCATCTTCTCCCGGTTGGCCTTGGGGTTGAGGGGGGCCTCGGTGAGCAGGGTCGGGTGCTCCTCGGGGGCCACGCGCAGCTCGTTGTAGAAGGAATGGTGCCAGATCTACGGCAGGCAAAGGACAATTGGGGCCTCACCCAAGCTGGGGCTGGCGCCCTCTCCCCATCCCAGGGCTGGGGGTCTCACCTTCTCCATGTCATCCCAGTTGGTGATGATGCCGTGCTCAATGGGGTACTTGAGCGTGAGGATGCCCCTCTTGCTCTGCGCCTCGTCGCCCACGTAACTGTCCTTCTGCCCCATGCCCACCATGACACCCTAACGCCAGCAGGAGAGACAAGGCCTCGTTACCCTCATTGCAGGGGTTGGAGCAGGGTGGGGGCTGCCCCTCACCCCCCTGGGTACCCACCTGGTGCCGGGGCCGCCCCACGATGGAGGGGAAGACGGCGCGCGGGGCGTCGTCGCCGGCGAAGCCGGCCTTGCAGAGGCCGGAGCCGTTGTCACAGACCAGGGCAGTGGTTTCCTCCTCGCACATGGTGGGGCTGGGAGTGGTTGGTGCTCAGGGGGGACCTGGGGGAAAAGCTGGGGCCGGGGGGGAAATGGCGTTAAGGGTGAACGGGGGAGGGGGTTGTCCCGCGGCACTGCATCCAGCTTTGGGTTTGGAAGGGTTGGAGTCCTTGGGAATGGGCAGTCTCACAAAGTCCTCTGTGGGCTGTGCCGAGGGCTGGCCACCCAGTCTGACCCCGGTGTGGTGATGCTGGGAGTGGGGTGATGCTCATTCCCCGTGTGCTGCTCCACGCTGGTGCTGCTCCTCCATCCTTCTCCGGCTGGTACCCAAAATCGGTGCCAAAGCCCCCCCGGAGAGCTCTGGTGTTGCCAAGCCCAGTTGGTGCCCCCCAAAAGCAGGCAGAGGGGTGTCAGGTGATGCCCCCTCATCCGGTTCTGTCTCAGCAGCCTCCTGCTGCATCTGCTCCCAATAATGGGAAAAAACCCAGCCCTTCCTGGGGGCTCCCCCCCCTACACTGGGGGATGTGCCCCCAAATCCAGAGGGAAGCAGCAAAAACCTTGCAGGAGCCCAGGAAGCAAAAATTCCCAACTCCCAGGGATTTCTGGAAGAGCACAACCTGCCTTGGGCCTCAGCCCAGAAAGAAAAAAAATCCCAAATCCCAGGGATTTCTGGAAGAGCACAACCCGCCTTGGCCGCAGCCCAGCTCTTGTCACCTCTGGGAAGCCCCCGGGGTTGGCACCCCCTCTGTGCCATGCAGACTGAGCTGGGGCCGGCCCATAAAGGCTGGGGCACCCCAAAACCCCCCCGAGGTGTTATTCCTTCCCCTCTCCTCCCAGGAGCTGGGAAGCAGGGCAGGGCAGGGCAGTACTCACCGCAGAGGCGAGAGCTCCTTTCCTCTGGGACCGAGCCCCGCTGTGCCGTGGGTATAAATACCAGCGAGCCCGAGGAACCTCAGAGGCGGATCCTCTCTAAACAAAGACCCTAAATAGGCTCAGTGATGGTGTGTTGGCCATATGGCCATATAAGGTGTTTTATTTCATTAAATTGACCTCGGGCTGGTGGTAGGACCCAGCAGTTTAATTATTGTAGGAAAAATGTATGTGGGGATGCTTTGGGAGGCAACGGCCCAGTTGTGAGTCTGTTCCTTTTATGCTCCGCTCTGATAAACAAGTGAGACACAAGTCCTTATAAGTGACAGGCTCGGAAAAGGGAGGTGGAAGTAACTCCAGTTCCTGGGGAGAGCATGGAGAAACCCCACCCGGGGGGAGGTGGGTGTGGGGGCTCCACCGTGGGGACACCCCGAGCGGGGATGGGAATTTGGCACTGCTGGAAAGGCCCTGGGTCAGTGCATCGCCTCCTCCCGGCCTCAGCTCCCCGGGATTCTCTCAGCTCCCCGGAATTCTGTGTTTGGAGATGCCTCTCCTCGTGCTTTTCTCTCTCTCCACCCCCATTTTTGGGCTTTTGGTGTCCCAAAGCCCCTCAGTTCCCCAAATCCTCAGCCTGAGCCAGGCCAGTTGTTGTGAGTCCAAATCCCAGCCCCACACTGTGGGTGCCCCCGGGAGGATCTGGGAGGTGGGATGAGCCTGGAGCTCCATGGGGCTCTGTGGGTGTTGGCCCCTGGCCCCCCTGCCTGGACACAGCCCGGGGGGGCCGCAGCCACCCCCAGCCCTTGGCAGTGGGAGTGGAGCCGCCAGGCCCGTGGCCCTGGCAGAGGCCAACCAGCAGCTCCCAAACTCCTGCTGCCTTTTTAAGGGCAACGGGCCCACACTGGGAGCTCTCTGGAACACCCAGGGGAGGCAGGAGAGGTGCCCAGGAACCACCACCCAGAGCTCGGGGAGCTCGGGGGGCACAAGGGGAAACTGAGGCCGGGGGGCCCGGGATGCTCCCTGTGCTCAGGGACATCCCAGCACTGGAGCAGGGGAAGGAGCTGCAGGTCCCACCACCACCAAGGGATCCAAAGGTCCTGTCCCCACCATGGTCCTGCAGGGAGAGGACTCTGGGCTGTCACCCTGTGGGGCAGGGCAGGGACACAACGTCCCTCCAGCTTGTTCACAACTTTAACATCCCGTAGGGATGGTTCTGTCTTGGAAGGAGGGAGCAGAATCTGGGCTGTCACCCCATGGACAAGGTGTCCCCCCACCACTCCAGACTGTTCACACCTCCAGTGTCCCCCAGGGATGGCTCTGTTCTGGGGGGAAGGAGCAGAATCTGGGCTGTCACCCCATGGAACACGGTGTCCCCCCAGCACTCCAGACCTGTTCACACCTCCAATGTCCCCCAGGGATGGCTCTGTCCTGGTTATTCCCTTTCCCTGGGGAATCTCAGGCTGGATTTGTCCCCTGGCCATCTACTTGGTGTCCCCCCCAAACCCTCTGCCCCGGGGTCCTTCTGCTGCCTCACATCCCACCCCGGATCCCTTGGGACCTGCCAGACATGAGGTCACCGAGGAGAAAGGCTGTTAAAAAAAACAACCCAAAACCAACTTACAAAAAATTAACCCCAAACCCAGCAGTGGGGGTGGGAAAAGGGGTTGGATGGAGGCAGAGGCCGGAGAGAACCAACGCGGAGAGGGTACGGCTGTGCCAGGGGCTGGTGGCAGGACCCCATCGCATTCCAAGGTGGAGGGACAAACCCAAAACCTCAGAGACAACCCAAAACCTCAGAGACACCCCTGAATCCCGGGCTGGCACAAGCGCAGAGCATCAACCCCCGGCCCCTCTCGGCAGCTCCGAGTCCCATCGCTCCTCCACGGCGGGATTTGTGGGCACACGCAGGTCGGCTCCAGGCCGCCCATCCCTGCGGGATCCCTGCGGGACGGCCCGGCGGCAGCGCAGCCCCGAGCGGAGCCCACGCGCAGCCTAAAAAGGCAACGTTGGCCCCCGCAGCCAATGGAGCCGCCGGCGGGCCGGGATGCTCTCAGGAACGCCAGGCATCCCGCGGCACGGGCGCGGGACGAGCAGGGGGCAAGCCCGGCTTTACCGCTGGATTTCAAAACTCCCGGCGCTCGGTCCAGCCCCCGGCACCTCCCTCAAGGGAACGGTCATGCCTGGAACCTCCCGGGATGCTGCCGGGGATGGGCAAACCGAGGCATGATCAGAGGGATCTGGGTCTGTTCCCATCCTGAAGCGGAGATAAACATCACTCCCTGCCTGCAGGAACAGCCCGGACACTCAACCCACGTCGTTACAGACACTAAACCCTTCCTACAAAGCGTTTGGGGTCAACTCTTCCCAAATCCAACCCCGTTTTGGATGATTTTAAGGTGGAACAGTCACATCTGGCACAGCTGGAGAGCCAGGGTGGGTTGGTGGGACCAGGTTATCGACATCCATCCCGATAAACAAACTGCTGGCTCAGGGACTCCAAGTGAAAAAACGTGATGGAAAAGCCAGGAGCTCAGGGAGCAGGGCTGGGAGTGAGGTGGGAGCTGAGCCCTGACTGAGGAACTGGGCCCTTCCTGCTCTGAGGAATGTGGAATATTCCCTGTGAAGGTTTATCTGTCACTGGGATGACACAAAAGTGCTGAAGTGCCACCAGCTCCACTCTCTGGTGGGTGCTCAAGGCAGCTCAGACCTGAGACCTGGTGGGATGTGGAGTTGGGATAAATTCCTTGGGATATTCCCCATCAAACTGAAGGAATTGCTGCTTGGAAAAATGAGATTTCCCACTTCATGTCCCTGCAATGTTCTGGGGGAGCTGCTCCGTGCTGTGGGATGAACAATCCCACACTGAACTGCAACCCCCTCCCGAGCATGGTTCAAATTAATTAGGTCTGAAAACAAGTTCCCACAGATGTCCTGAAGGCCCCCCGGTCCCCCCCCACCTCCCTGTTCCCAAAACTGGCTTTGGAAAAGCTGGGAGCAGCCCTTTGTCACGCAGGAGCTGCTGCAAACACACCCAACCCCCAAACAAATGGATCCCCCCCCGCCAGACCCCCCAACCCACCGGGGGAGCTCAAAGAAAACAAGTGGCACAAGAGACCCAGCCCACATAATCTGATCCATGTGTGTTCACCGAACACTGAGGGGTGTTGGATGCACGAGGACATGGATGTTTCCATGCCAGGTGGGAAGGCAGCTCCAGCCTCCCCCAGCCCAGCACAGCCATGTGCCGACCATCCCTCTGCAGGGTGTGGGGTGTGGGTCACGCTCAGCCCTGAGCCCAGCTGCCTTCCACCTTGGAATTCTGCTGCTTCCTACCCAGTGAGGGTGGAGGCTCGGCCTGGAGCACAGGGAAGGGAATTCTCTGCTTGGCATCCAACTAAAGCACCTCGGAGCAGGATCCGGTGGTACCGCACGGCAGCGATGTCACGGAGAGCTGGGGTTTGGCAAGGACGGGCTTCCAGCTGCTCTGGGAAGCTCAGAGGCAATCAGGCTGTGGGATCTTGGAGGATGGAAGTGGCCAGAGCAGCTGGAATTCCATCTGGGAGCAGTGATGGCAGCTGGGACACCCAGTGCTCCTCCACGGTAACACCACGGGCTGAGAGGATCCCAGAGCCAGGAAAGGGAATAAAGTCACCAGACACCCCTGAACACTGCTGGGATGAGGGAGATCCTGCAAAGCTGTGCCCCGTCCAGGCACCTTCATCCCTGAAATGGGGATCCCAAAGGAGTTGAGTCCCCTCTCTCCCTCCCCAGGCAAAGATCCGAGTACCAGGGAGCAGGAGTGGCTCAGCTCGGCGGGGCTGAGCTCGTGAGGGGGGAGAGGGGTCAGGAGGGGTTAATCTTAAACTACAGGAAAGGTTTATCTACTCCTGGAAGCTGCTCTAAGCCCACAGCGACCCGCAGAGAGGGACAACACGGGGCACGGGTTAATTTGGGCAAGTCCCAAAAGCACTTGAAGAGGTTTCCACACCTCGTGGTTGCAGCAAATCATGGGGAACCTCCCCAGGAGGCCGTTCCAGCCACGGATTAGAGTGTTAAAAACTGCTTTAGTGTTGGCTCCTGCCTCTGAATTCCCAGCTGGCTTTTCCCCACACCTTGGACCTCAGCAGGCTCCAGGCACTGAGGATCCACGTGCTCCCAAGGAGGTCAGGGATGTGATTCCACTGGAAATCCCACCAGCACTGAGGGAGGGAGGGGAGGGATCTCTACACGGTGGGAATCATCTGCTACAGGAGGGACCAATCCCTAAGGCTGAGAGGAAGGCGGGAGGTTCCTGTGAGCGGATAAGGCAGGAGGATTATCGGAGATCCAGCAGGACAACATCCCTCTCCACCACTGACACGTGACTGCAGGTCTGGGAGAGAGAAAGAGAGGGGACAGGGGGTTATTCAGATGTTCCCACAGCTCAGGTGACATGACCTGCAGCCAGAGTCCTTCCCAGAACAGCCCTTGGAGCCGTTCCTTGGGTCACACAGTGACCACAGCAGGACACAGAAACAGATCCCTCTCCCAAACACACCCCTTTGTGCTGCCTCGCCCTGTTCCCACAGGGAGGAGCTCCCCATCACTCCTCCAAGCCCTGTAAAACGTTGGGAAGCTCCTGCACCTCCACCCTGGGAATCTGAGACCGGCCTCTGCCAGGCTGAGCCTCCTCTCCTGTCACAGCCCAGCATCCCACACGGATTTAACTCCAGTGAAGGGTCCAACACACCAACTCCCCACCCCACAGCCCCCAGTGCCTGGGGGGGACTCACCGTGAAGAGAGGGGGGTCTTTGGGGTGTGGGTGGAACCCTTTCTGGCGGCAGGACGAGATCTCCTCCAGGCCGTGCTCCGTCAGCCGGAAAAACCCCGTCCTGGAGAAGGGAACACACCCAGGAGCACAAGGACCTCCTGTGGCTCCACCTCTGCAACCTCTGCAGGGACAGCCACGTCCTCTGGGCCTCACAGAGCACCTTTGGGGCAGCTCATCTCGGGCAGGGGCAGAGATTGAGGCTGAGGGACAACCCTCTGGGATGTCTGGGACATCTCTTCCTGGGAAAGCCCCCCTTTCTGGGACACCCCTCTTCCCAGGACACCCCTCTTCCCAGGACACCCCTCTGTCTGGGACACCCCTCTGTATGGGACATCCCTCTTCCTGAGACACCCCTCTTCCCAGGATAACCCTCCTCCCAGGACACCCTTCTGTCTGGGACACCCCTCTTCCCAGGACACCCCCATCTGAGAGACCCCCTTCTTGGGACATCGTCACCTGGGACACCTCCTTTCCTGGGACATCCCCATTCCCAGGACACCCCTCTTCCTGGGATACCTCTCCTCCTGGGACACTCCTCTTCCCAGCCCCAGGGCTGCAGACCACCCTCCTGTCACAGGTGGGCAACCACTGCCCAGATCCAACCCCCTGATCCTGATCCTGATCCTGACCCTGCTCCAGCCCAGAAGAGCTGTGGAGTCCCCTGTGTGTGACCTGGCATTTTATCTCCACACCAGGAACCCGACAGAGGAAGGGTGTGCTTAAACAGCCCAGGCAGAAGGAAAGGCCTTCCCCACCCCACACCCTGGTGTCCACACTCACTCCTGGTGTCCACCCACATTCCTGGGTGTCCATACTCACTCCTGGTACTTGGGAGAGCACACGATGGCGATGGACTCCGGCAGCATCAGCTGGTAGGAGCAGTGGGTGTGCAGGTCCACGCTGGACAGGAAGGCTGTCTGTGTGGGGTGGGTCTGGAATAGGCAACACACGGACAGGAGTCACAGCAGGCTTGGCAAAATGGTTCCAAGGGATTGTGTCTGCCAAAGGGAGGCTGTGACAGAGGAGACACAGCTCCTGGGATGGCACAGGGGACACACTAAGAGGGGTTTGTGTAGAATCCCAGAATGGTTTGGGTTGGGAGTGACCCCAAATATCATCCCATTCCATCCAGGGACACCTTCCACTAGGCCCAGGCTGCTCCAAGCCCCATCCAACCTGGCCTTGGACACTTCCAGGGACCCAGGGGCAGCCACAGCTCCTCTGGGAATTCCATCCCAGCCCCTCACCACCCTCACAGCCAAGAATTTATTCCCAATATCCCATCTAACCCTGCCCTCTGGCAGTGGGAAGCCATTCCCCCTTGTCCTATCACATCATTCCACGCTCTTGCCAAAATTCCCTCTCCAGCTCTCTTGTAGCCCCCCTTTTTTTTTTGACTCTCTTAAAACACCTGCTCCTCTTTTCCATCTGAAGTACAAAAGAAGCTCTACATTCCTGTCCCATTGCATGAAAAAGTCCCACTTTCAGGCCCAACACTGTCCTTGCAGGGAATTCACACCTTTCTCAAGTGCAGCAGCACCAGCACACCCCATCCTGCCCTGGCACTTCAGGATATCCCATTCCAGAGGGCTGTATGATCCCTGACAGCCACCACCTCACCCAGCTCCTGCCCGCAGCTGGATTTCATGGATTTCACACCTTAACTCCTGCTGGAAGCTCCTGCTCCTTCTGCTGGTGAGGTTTTTGTTGCCAAGGCCAGCAGAAGGGGCACAGGAATTCCGGAGGGTCCCTGGGTGTGACAGGGCTGGCAGGGCAGAGCTGCCCCCTCGGGGATCAGGCACAGGCAGCACATTCCCCTGCCCAAGGCTGTGAGGCAGCAGCTGCTTTCGAGAGATTACTCAGCAGCTCCAAACATTTTCCTTGGCACGGATCCGACTGCCAAGGGCTCCGTGGGGACAGCAGGGAATTGCTGCAGCCAGGGAGGACTCTGGAACTGGCACATCCCACGGCACAGCTGCCTCAACAGCAGCACCACTCCAGGGACATAGCATGGGAGAGGTGTCCCTGCAGCAGGAGGGCTTGGGATGCCCTGACGGGGCCTCTGCAGTTGGATTTTAGCTGGAGGATACATGAGCTGCATGTCCAGGACCCCCCTTGCACAGATCCAGACTGGTTTGTGTTGGAAGGGATCTCAAAGATCAGCCAGTTCCACCCCCTGCCATGGGCAGGGACACCTTCCACTGCCCAGGTTGCTCCAAGCCTTGTCCAACCTGGCCTTGGACACTTCCAGGGATCCAGGGGCAGCCACAGCTTCTCTGGGCAACCTGTGCCAGGGCCTCCCCACCCTCACAGCCAAGAATGTCTTCTTAATATCTAATCTAGCCCTGCCCTCTGGCACTGGGAAGCCATTCCCTGTGTCCTGTCCCTCCATCCCTTGTCCCCAGTCCCTCTCCAGCTCTGGAGCCCCTTTAGGCCCTGGAAGGGGCTCTAAGGTTTTCTCTGGGCAACTTGTGCCAGGCCTCCCTGCCTTCCCAGGGAAGAATTTCTTCCCAATATCCCATCTAACCCTGCCCTCTCTCCTTTCCAAAGGGCCTGATGCTTTGGGAAGGGACTCAAATGTAAAACAGGCCAGGATTTCTCCAGTAGAGTAGCGAATGAGACTGTACCAGAGGGAGAAACCCAACTAGAGAGAGAAATCAAATCAGAGGGAGAAATCCAACTGGGGGGAGAAACTCAACCAGGGGGAGAAATCCACCCAGAGGCAAGAGATCCAACCAGAGGGAGAAACCAAACCAGAGGTGAGAAACCCATCCAGAGGCTGCTGCCCACTCCACACCATCTCCTCCTGTAACTTCTCCTCCCCCAGCCCTGCTCCACCAGCCCTTTCCCTCCAGGCTGAAGGCAGGGGCAGGAGGCACTCACATGGATCCAGCCCAGGGTGACGAGGCCGTGCTGGTCCTGGATCAGGAACAGCTCCTCCTCGTTCTCAGTGTTGCAGTAGTCGGGGCCCCCGTGCTGCTTGGGCACGATCACGTGGGTTATGGTGAACTCATTCCTCATCTGCAGGGCAGGGGCAGCACAGGGGGGTCAGAGGGAGCACAGGCACCCCCAGACACCCCCCAGCAGGAAACAGGGAGCCAAGAGAATTCCTTAAGTTTTGGGAACTTCTCCTCAAGAAGCCCAGCACCACGCAGGTGCAACTCCCAGTTACTGACAAAGGAGTCACAGGGGTTTTCTTCCTATTTCATTTTCCCTGCTGTGCAGAGCACCCACAACAGCTCAGAGAACACCCACTGAAGCAACTCAAGATGATGCCTCATCCCTAAATAATCCCCAGTGGCTGGAAGCAGCTGGATGGCAGGAAGTTACTACTTCAAACAGCTCCATTTCAAAGCAAACCCCTGCGAGTGACTCAGGGCTGGAGCTGCCAACGAAACCTGGACATGAAAACTCCTGGGGAGAACAGTGTCCTGTCAGCCCTGTGTGGCTGAAATCACCAGCTGGGACACCCCAGTCCTGCTGGCACCCAAAGGACAAGTCCCTGGAGCTCCTGTCCCCAGGATTGTCCCCAGTGCTTGTGGCAGGTACAGAGTCATCAGCAGCAGAGAGGAAGCTGAGTGGGGACTCTGGTTGGCACTGAGTGCCAGGGTGAGGAAATCCTGACCCAAAAGCCTGGAAAGGGAGAGGCAGATCATCCCTAATGCTCACAGGGAAGCCTGAAACTGCACTAGAGAACTCCAGGACAAAGATCAGGGTCCTGCAGCCATTTCCAAAGCGGTGGTGCCGTGACAAACAACCCCTGTGCCGCTCCAAGGTCTCCTGACGGATTGTCCCCTTACCAGCTTCCCACAGAGGATCCCACAGGTCTCCACACCCCGCACCGTGTTGGCATCAGCCAGCTGGAGGAATTTGTGGCACAGCTCCCTGGGGACAATGACCTGGCGAAGGACATCCACTCCTGCACCTGTGGGGAACGGGAGTGCAGTGAGACACAAGCCAGGGGAGCAGAAATGGTCCCTCAGGGCAGGCCCTGAAGGGATGAGACGGAAAAAATGCACCTGGAAGGGTGGACTGCTCTGGCTCTGCCCCTCCAGTGGCACCAAGAGATAAATATGTCACTGGGACACTGATAAAGGACAGGCACCACCCCTTTGATAAAGGACAAGGACCACCTCCTTCAGAACAGAGAGGGGAAGAATCCTTCAGCAGGGTGTCGAAAATGAGTCTTTTGTTTGTTAGTAAAAATGAAACCACACACACTCACAGCATGTTATTTAAGGTAGGATGTGTCACTGGGCAAGAACCAGTCACTGGACATGTCTGGATGAGTATTTTGGAGCTGTGTTTGGCAGGATTTGGTCAGGAGGAGGATTCAATCAGCCCGGCCAGGAATTAAACTCAAATCTCCAAGAAGTGCTTGGATCAAGGAAAGGCAAATAGGCTGCAGAGTCTGGAACAGCAGAAAGATGGGGCTGGAAGAGCATGGAGGGTGCATTCCCAAGAGGAGACAGTTCTCCCAAGCCCTGCAAACCTTTACTGAACAACAGGGGCAACATCCAGTGACTTGGAAGAGCAAACCCCCAGAAGGGATGGAGCCAGGAGCAGATAATTCCAAGAGCCTCCCAGACAAACTGGCCACATTTGGCTCAGCCCCAGCAAGGGATAGGGATGCTCCCAGAGGTACTAACTGGTTTCTGTGCTCCCCAAAGCACTGGGCTTCAAAGATCTGTCCACGACGGGAGGTCTGGGTGGGACGGTCCCCGCTGAGGGACTTGCTGGGTGAACTGAAGACACTGGAACCTTTGGGGTTAAATCAGTCGGGGGCTTTTCCACTCCAGGGATGAGGGGTCCATCCAGAGACTCTGGCTCCGGCTTCCCAAACTCCTGCACTATCCTCAGGCGTTCCTTCTCCAGCTCCTGCCGCCGGATCATCTCTTCGAAGGCGTGGAACTGCTCCTGCTCTGCCTGCTGCTGCTTCATCAGGGCCACCCGGCTCTTCTCCTCCTCCAGCTGCTGCTGCAAAGCCAAAGTGGGTGCAAATTACTCTTCCTCCTCCTTCCCTAAGAAGAAATATCCCAAGGGACATGAGCAGAGACGGGAACATGGAGCCTCTGCGCTGCAGACCCTCAGCAATCCCAGGCTGCTTCAAAAGGGTCTGCAAAGAGCATTCCTTGCAGGAAGCTTCAGCTTGCAGAGATCCACACTTCCATCAGGAGAGCCAGCTGGACCAGGGCACCTAAAACCTCTGCCTTACCCTCCCTCTTCCACAGAAGCACAACTCCAGGTTGTTTTCCATCTATCCTGTCTCCCAAATCACACTTGTCTGCAGCAAAACTGATCCTGGAGGTTTCTGTTTTGCCCACACAACCCCACATCCTTGCCCATGCTGGGTTTCTGGATCACAAAACCTGGATCTTGTGTTGGGACAAAGAGAATTAACCAACCAAACAGCCCCAACTCGGGATGCACAAGGAAGAGAGACTCAGATGAACCTACAGTGGCAGCAGGGCCAGCCCTGTGCTGCAGGGGGGGATCCCCACAATGGACGTTCCTGAGCACCCAGGGAGCCCTGGAGACTTGCCCTCTCCCAAACCCTTGGTGGCTGAGGGTCTCCTGGGGAGCACAGGCCTGCAGTCTGCTCTCACTCACCTCCTGCTCCTTGTACTTAGCATAGTCCTGGGCGTACCTCTTTAGCAGCTCCTCCTTGAGCTCTTCCGCTCTGGGAAAGGCTACTTCCTTCAGTTTCTGGGGGAGAAACGCAGGAAAAACCTGAGTGCCAACAAAACCGGCCCTGAGCAGCTGCAGCAACCCCAAAACCACCCCCAAAATCACCCAGCAGTGCTGGCCTTTGCAGCATTAAGCATAGGAGCCGTGGCTTCTTGTGGCTGGGAGGAATCTCCAAGGATTCCCTGGCAAATCTCACCGTGTTGAGCATCCAGCTCCCATGCATGGAAAAGCCATGTGGTCTTTAAAAAGCAGGGAGTTTAACAGGAAAGAAGGACACTCCAGTGCTCAACAGAAAGTAAACTGGACACCAGTGTAAATACAGTAGGGTAAGAAGAGCCCAAACCATAACTCAGAGAATCATGGAATTGTTTAGGAGGAAAATACCTCCAAGATCATCAAGTCCAACCTTTCCCCCAGCACTGCCATGTCAGTCACTGATCTATGTCCCAGGTGCCACATCCAAGTGTTTTACACACTTCCAGGGGTGCTAATTCAACCACTGCCCCGGGGAAGCTGTGCCAGGGCTGGACAACACTACTGGGGAAGGAATTTCCCCAGTATCCAACCTAAACATCCCCTGGCACAGCTGGAGGCCGTTCCCTCTCCTCCTGTCCCTGTTCCCTGGGAGCAGAGCCCGACACCTCCCCCGGCTCCCCCCTCCTGTCAGGGACTTGCAGAGCCAGAAGGTCCCCCCTGAGTCTCCTTTTCTCCAGGCTGAGCCCCCTGTCATGGTTTGAGATAGCTTAGACTAGGGGATTGGATTTTGGGGCTATCTCAAACCATGACACCCCCCCAGCTCCCTCAGCTGCTCCTGCTGCTCCAGCCCCTTCCCAGCTCTGTTCCCTTCCCTGGACACCTCCAGCCCCTCAGTGTCTGTCTTGGAGAGGAGCCCAGAACTGAACTCTCAGGGGTCAGGACTGCCTGGCCATGCCAGTGTTTGTGTGGATCACCCATGCCAGAGCCACGAACACCCAAGGTCAACGATGCCAAGACGTTTCCCTTCAGGACCTGGCAATGTCACCACTTACTTTGACCGTCTCCCTCTTCTCGGGAATGACGGCGGTTTTGTAGTCACGGTGCTGGGGCAGCTTCTCAATGAAGAGCCTGGAAAAACGGGACAGAAACTGCAGTTTGGGATCATGGCAGGAAGGGACAGACACAAGACAGTCGGTGGCACTTTGGGGGTACAGATCCCTGGGTCCTGTGCTGCCCATTAGGACAGTCTTTCTGCAGGAAAACCTCCATCGCCCCTGGGAGCTGTTCATGGCACACAGACCTTGTTCAGTCCCATGGGAGCACCTCACACAGGCTGTAATTCCACCTGGACTCTGGAGATGATCCTCGGGGATAAATACATTTGTTTTGAACAGGACCATTAATAAGCTGGTCTGAAGCACCAAGGGCACAGCAGTGATTCAGGAGGTGCTTGGGCACCTGCCGACACCTCGGAGCATCCCGGGATTTCAGTCCCAGCGCAAGGACTCGGCTGACTCAGTGCTCACTGTCCTTCTGCTCAGAGGGACAGGCACTTTGTGCATCAGAGGGGAAACAACTCGGACCTTGAACAGAGAAAACTTGCTAAAAGCAAGTTCCCAACATCCCCGGCTGCTGCATTGGGAAACTTTGGGCTCTGCAGCTGGAGCAGCCCCAGGTATTCCAGGCTGGAGGGGAATTCCTGTGCTGGCTTTCGGGAGGGAAATCACAGCATCATCCCACTGCCAGCATGGGAACAGGTTCAACTTTGGCTCCTCTACAAGTGGGATAACTGTTTTCCCCCTCATAGAATCCCAGACTGGTTTGAGTTGGAAGGGACCTTGAAGCTCATCCAGTCCCACTCCCTGCCACAGGCAGGGACACCTTCCACTAGCCCAGGTTGCTCCAACCTGGCCTTGGACACTTCCAGGGATCCAGGGGCAGCCACAGCTTCTCTGGGAATTCCATCCCAGCCCCTCCCCACCCTCACAGGGAGGAATTCCTTCGCAATATCCAACCCAAATCTCTCCTGTTCCCCCTTACCCTATAACTGTCTGCCCATGTAAAAAATCCCTCTCCCTCTTTTTCACAAGCCTTCTTTAAGTCCTGGAAGGCCACAACGAGGTCCTTCCATGGAGCTCTGCAGGACATGGAGGTGAAGATGCAGAGAGAGTTGTCCAGGCACTAATACCAGGGGGAAAGCCCATAAACACAGGGCAGCTCCCTCTGGCTCAGGCTTGGGACACTCTGAGTTACCCTGTGACCAAGTCCCCAGTGGTGACAGGGTGCTCAAGCTGAGCTCAGGCTGAGCTCAGGGTGGTCTTAGCTGGGCCCTTGTCTCTTGCAAGTGGAGCTGTCCTGGCTCTGGGCATCCACAAAGCTTTGGGATTAACCCCAAATCCCTGCCCTCCTCCCTGGCTTTTTCCCACACAGCTCCAGCATCCAAAGGATACTCCAGCTCCAGAGAGCAGCCTCGTTCCCAGGCACAAGGAATAAGGGAATAAGAGGACTGGACTGTGCCCCAGGGAGCAGCACAAACCAAGCAGAGCCAAGAGGGAAAAACTCAGCAGGGACAGAGTGAGACTCTTTGCTCTGAGAACCCCCTGTGTGTGCAGTAAACAAACCCAGCTGCTCCAAACTCTCAGTCCTCTGGGAGAAGGGAGGACTTTTTGCCACCCTGAATGCTCCAGGTTGCCAGGGAGAGGGTGAGGATGCAGGATCAGCACCCATGGAGCCCTAGAGAAGCTGTGGTTCCACCCCAAAGCCCCAGCAAGGTCCCTCTCCCAGCTGGTGGTGTGAAGTAGGTCACTGTGTCGAGGAGACACAACAAGGCCCCGAGCGCTGCCAACAGCTCGGGGATTAAAATGGAAGGGATTAATTAGGGAGGATTAAGAGCAGATGCTGGGGCTGGGGAGGATGGAAAAACCAGCAGGGACAGCTGGGTTTCCACAAGTCAGGAAGCAAGGAAAAAGCAGGCAGGAGGAGGAGAGGAGGGCTCAGGCAGCAGAGGAAAATTCGGGGGCAGGAGCAGCAGCTGAAGGGGCAGAGGAGGGGCAGGACCAGCCCACGTCTCCCATCAACAGCCCCACTGAGGTTTGGCAGGACCAGAACCTGCAGCTCCCGCCTCCAGGAGCTTTGGGCTTGTTCAAACCTCTGCTGTTCCCCAGTCCACTGGAGCAGCAGCTGCTTGGCACCAAGCAGCCCCAGCCCAGGCTATTTTTAAGCCCAGCTCGGGAGCACAGGCCAAGCTGGCGGCTCCCAAATCCCTGTGACACCCCCAGAGCTGATCCCAGCAGCACCAAACTAAGGAGCCCAAGCACCACACAAAAGTTGTGTCTTGTTTCTTTTTTCTTTCATATTTGGCTCTGCCAAAGTCGACTCGAGTGTTCCTGGTGGGGATCCAAGGAAAACAACCACTCAGATCAATGGAAAATAAGCTGCTCAGGATGACAGGCAAGGAAAGTCTTATCAGGTGACAAGATATGGGTTAAAATCCAGCCTGGTTATTCCTAGAGATAGCCATGGAATCATGGAATGGCTTGGGTTGGAAGGAACCTTAAAACTCATCCAGTTCCACCTCCTTCCATGGGCAGAGACACTTTCCACTATCCCACGTTGCTCCAACCTGGCCTTGGACACTTCCAGGAATGGAGCAGCCACAGCTGCTCTGGGAATTCCATCCTGGCCCCTCCCCACCCTCACAGCCAACAATTCCTTCCCAATATCCCATCTAACCCTGCCCTCGGTGAGTTTACGACCATTCCCCCCTGTCCTGTCCCTCCATCCCTTGTCCCCAGTCCCTCTCCAGCTCTCCCGGAGCCCCTTCAGGCCCTGGAAGGGGCTTTCAGGAGCCTTCTCTTCTTCAGGTGAACCCCCCCAGCTCTCCCAGGCTGGTCCCATTCCTAGGAAAGGGAGAGCAGAGCAAGTCCACGAGAGGCTCCAGTTCCCAGTGGATCAGGACATGCCCTCATGTGGATCTTGCCCTTTGGATCAGGACATCTAGAAAACACCAATCCCACTGCTTGAGCTTCAGCTTCCTGTCTTCATTTACGGAAACAAGATGGTGACATTAAGTTCATATCTTTGGACAATCCAGGGCAGCAGCTCAAACTCAGCAACGCAGAAACCCCACCAAGGGAAGGTTTTCCACCCTCCTGGCAGCCCAGCCCAGGCTGAAAATTCCAGGAAAGCTGCTGGAAAGAGCCACCCCAGCACCTCTCAGAGCTACAATGAAACAGCCAAGGTGCTTTGAGTTTGTTTAGTTAAAAAGTTCCTCCTCCAGTCCCAGCTGCGTAACCAGCCTGGAAACCTTCCCAAGGGTTTTACACTTCCCAGCTCCCCGTGCAGCCTCCCAGGGCCCTGCTCCCATGCCCATAAAAGCTCAGGAAGTGCAAGGCGGGAAGAAAAGCCTAATCAGGGAAAAATGTGTTGGATTTCAGGGGCAGGAACCTGCACAAAGGGCAGGGAGGGGAAATGCCCACGGAGGTGCCAATGGGTAAGCAGGCGGTGTGGGCACAGCACAGACCTCACCAGGGGCACTGGGTGGGAGGGGCAGGATTTTTCCCAAAAAACCTACAGGAACAGGCCGCTGTGACACTGGGGTATTTTCTGAGGATCACAATTTTCAGCCCCATAAACACCAACAGGGCATTGTTGAGGGGGTTGGGAGAGAATTATAATCCCTCTGAAATGTAAAAACAAATCTGACATGTAAAAATAAATCTCCAACTGGTCCCTGCTCTTGAAAGAGGGACTCACTCCCTGCTGTAAAAGGCTGTAGTAACCTAAGAGTAAAACAGGCTTTGAAAGTGGTTTATCAGAGAAACCACCACCCAACCTCAATCCTTTCCAGGGTACTAGATAATGATATTCCTGGTGATGGATCCCTGCCAATCCATATGATGTCACAACCAACCTAGTGAAAAACAAGGCCAATTTAGCCCCTCTGTGGCGATAAAACACCTGGAAACTTTGACTTAGAGGTGGACAAAACCCCTCTGCTGCTGACAAGAGTCTCCAGAAGGACAGAGGAATCCAAGATCAGCCTCTTTCCAAAGGGAATCTCATTAATGCATATAAATATCTCCAAGGGGTATCAAGAGGATGGTACCAGACTTTTCAGTGGTGCACAGCAAGAGGATGAGGAGCAACAGCCACAAAGTGAACCACGACAAGTTCCACCTCAACAGGAGGAAGAACTTCTTTCCATGGAGGAGGTGGCAGAGCCCAGGGAGGGTGTGGAGTCTCCCTCTCTGGAGACATTCCAAACCCAGCTGGAGCCTTTCCAAACCCATCTGGACATGTCCCTGTGTCACCTGCTCCAGGTGGGTTGGGGTTTGCACTGGGTGATCTCCAGAGGTCCCTTCCACCCCCAACAATTCTGGGATTCTGGATTCTGTGCAGGGAGTTGTGTCTGTGGGTTTGTGCCTCACACTTTTATGACATCTCCTGGTCAGTCCCACCAGCCAGAGCTCTGAGTCCCCTCCTCAAAATAACCTCTCCTGCCAGATCCCACAGTCCTCCCCAGGGGAGAACAGACCCCAGTCACACACTGTAATTCCCAGTGCCCCCAGACCAGAACCCCCCTCTAATTCCCACAGCACCTCTCAAAATAAAGTGCCCAAACCAAACCACCCCACCCAAGGGACCCCAATCTCCAGACCCTCCCTGGCTCACCAAGAGAGCTGTGGGACCCCAAATCCCAGAAGTCCCTTCCACCCCTAACAGTTTTGAGATTCTGGACTCTGAGATTCTGGACTCTGAGATTCTGTGCGTTTTTGCCTCATACCTTTTAAGATAATTCCTGGTCAGTTCACCCCAGACCCCAGGGTCCCTTCCACCCCTAACAACTCTGGATTCTGTGAACTTTTACAAGTCAGCTGCATCTGTGGGTTTGTGTCTCACACCTTGAGGTGAAACCATGGGGAGTCACCTCATGTCTGATCCCCCAAAAGAGCCCCCCTATCCTGGCTGTCCCCCCCAAAACAGCCCCCCCCTGCTCTACCTGTCCCTCAAAACAGCCCCTCTCTGAACGAGTGGAGGACCCCCCCAGCCAAAGCCCCCACAACAGAGCAAAGGGAGCCCCAAACCAGATCCCCCTTCCTAAGGAAGAGATCCCACAGTCAGAGCCC